GGGTGCCTGTAGTCCCAGCTACTCGGGAGGCTAAGGCAGGAGAATGGCGTGAACCCAGGAGGCGGAGCTTGCAGTGAGCCAAGATGGTGCCACTGCACTCCAGCCTGGGCGACAGAGGCAGACTCAGTCTCAGAACAAAATAAAACAAAAGAAAAAAAGAAAAATATTACACGGTTGTTTGCTTGAAATGTTTAAAAATATGCAAGCCAGTCCTAAAACAGCTGTTTGTTAAAGATTAGGATAGGACCCCTAGACTAGTTTGCTCTTTTCAAACCATTGGTAACCTTAATTGGTACACTTACTGTGTAGATGGTGCCAGCAAATGACATTAAAATTGTATTTGAAGCTTTAATGTTTGGAGCAACTTACATTCTGTTGCTTGGAATAATCTTGTGCCCTTCTCTAAACCAAGTCACTTGAGGTCTGGGGTAGCTGGTGATGGGCAGCAGGTTTAGAATTGCTGCACGTCCTTGAGGAACTGTTTTCCTCTGGTCCGTATCCGTGAAACTTCCCATGTCTGCAGAGAAAAAGAGCGCTTTCAAGTTCTAGAAAACATTTTTCGGGGAGGGAAGGGGTCACAGATGGAAACAGGTACGTGTTACAGTGAAGTCACTGATGCTGCCACATGTCACACCAGGACAAGTGAGACTGCAGGGCAGCGCTGACCAACGCGCATCTGCCTGTGAGTGAAGCACAGGACAAGCCAAGCCACGCGCCTCTGAAGCGCCCACGCTGCGCGTTCGTCAGCAAAGCCACATGGTGTTTGTCCTACCTGACAATACAAGGGAACGTCTGCAACTGTCTGATACTGAAAATGAAGTGCTGAAGCCATCCTAGAACCACATAAAGCAGTTTTCTCAGAAACTGTCAGAAAATGCATCTGGATGCCTCCTAGCTCATAAATCTTTCAAACCTGTTCCAGCCCGGCACCAGCCCCTCAGCTTGTTCCCTTCAGCTTGTTCCCTTCATTTGTGAGGTCACTGTCTCCCGCACAGATCTTTTGGGAGCAATACTTCCTAACCACTGAAGAGTCTATACAGCATTCCCCCACTCCCATACTGTTGACTTAATTTGGGGCAACTAGTCTTTGTTCCAGTATTTGTTCTACTAGTAAAAAACGTTTAAAAAATGGAGTCACAGGACAAAACACAGCTATTAGAATGTAGGTATAAACGGCTAATTTTAAAATTAGTAACATTTGAAATTTTTGAATAAAATTCCATATGATGGTCAGATGCAAATAAAAATATACAAATAGATAAGGCAAAATAGTGTATTTTTATTTAAATGTAAATAAGTTTGAAATATTCCATGGAAGTGCTCTATTATCAATGTCTTCTGGAGTTGAAAGACATTTTCTATGTGATAGTATCTAATATTTGAGGGAAAAGATGAAACAAACCAACAAAACAGATTAGAAAAATATTCATATTTTAAAAGAAAATGAAATTTGTTATCAAAGCAAAGGAGAAAAGAAAGATTTAAAAAAAAAATCTAAAGGCAGAGCAGTGGTTGTCATCTATAATCCCAACACTTTGGGAGGCCAAGGCGGGTGGATCACCTGAGGTCAGGAGTTTGAGACCAGCCTGGCCAATATGGTGAAACCCCATCTCTACTAAAAATACAAAAATCAGCTGGGTGTGGTGGTGGGCGCCTATAATCCCAGTTGCTCGGGAGGCTAAAGCAGGAGAATCACTTGAACCTGGGAGGCGGAGGTTGCAGTGAGCCAAGATTATGCCACTGCACTCCACTCTGGGCAACAGAGGCAGACTCCGTCTCAAAAAAGAAAAGAAAAAAAAAATCTAAGAGCTAGAGATACAGAATAGGCACTAAAACATTAAGCAAAATTCAATTTTATAAGACAGAATATAATAATTTTGAAGCTCTTCTTAAAACATAATTTAGGTATTGATCTTCACTCTAATAATTACATTTTCAATCATTCAACTGAATAAAAGTTCTCAATTATTCTGCAACATTCTTCGACATCACAATTTAGAAAAACTTAAGCCTTCCTAGTGATTTTAAAAAGCAAACATGTATAGCATCACCACTTCACCCAATCATTAGGCTTATGGTAGAATAACTAGATATTTATTTTATTTCACCTACTCACACTGAAAGCTACAAGCCTTAATTGGGGTTAAAATGACAAATGAGGAAATTCTGTCATCACCAAAAAGTACAGCCCAACTCAGGAGCTCTTTCATTCTCTAAAGTTTATAATGATATATTAAAATGTAATCTAACATCTTACAACATTGTTTTGCTTACTTTTAAACAAAGAGAAATTTTGGTAGTACATTCAAGATATAATAAATATAATAAAACAAGTCAGGCTCACTCCTGTAATCCCAGCACTTTGGGAGGCTAGAGCAGGAGAATCACTTGAGGCCAGGCATTAGAGACCAACCTGGGCAATGCAGTGAGATCCCTCCCCTACCAAAAACAAAAGAAATTAGCCAGATTAGCCAGGCATGGGGCACACATCTGTGGTCCCAGCTACTCGGGAGGCTGAGGAGGGAGGATCACTTGAGCCCAGTTCAAGCTTGCAGTGAGCTATGTTTGTGCCACTGCACTCCAGCCTGAGAGACAGAGATAGACCCTGCCTCAAATATATATTTATTTATATATATATAACATATATCACATATATATGACATATAATTATATGTTATGTCTCTATTTTATATACACATATGTACGTAAGGTAAAGTAGGCAGTCCATTTTTACTCTTCACAGATTTTGAATTAGAAAAAGGACTAAATACTTTGCATAGGCCAAGTTTGCTCTCCTGTTTCTCCTCAAGACTACATGAAAATTTAAGCTTCCTGCATTCTTGATGTCTCCTTCGTTTACTTTTACAAGTTTCATTCTCCAAAAAGGATCTGCTGAATAAAGAATTAATAAATCACTATATCACATGAATACCATCGGGGACGCTCACTATCCATGTGCTTTTTGTGGTGCGGCGTAAAGATTTCTAAACAAATCGTCACTGGAAAGAACTGACAATGAACGAACTTTGACCTAAATGGGCTGAACTTTATACTTTAATAACATTTTGAATCCAAACATAGTGCAATCTAAGAGCAGCTGATTCATAAGACAGAAGGTATCCCATTCACTTTTTCATCCTCCCCGGGGCCTTGTAGGAACCTGAGTCTTTTCAAATGAAGAAAAGTGGCCTTTGCCTCATCAGCCCCTCGCCCGGCCAGTCACGCTGGCTGCTTACTTATCTCTCACTGAGTTGAGCAATTATTCTACCCGGAATAGGACCAAAGATAAAATCTTAGTTCCTACAACGGTGAAAAGTGATTCTGATTTACTCCCCAGCGACACTCTGTTCTGCAACATTTGGACATCTCCGTACTGTACACATACATGCGACTTGAACTTCTGATTTTCTTTGCAGGAGTGCTCCCATTCTGTTTCGCACCACGCAGCGGTAAAACCCAGCATCGAGCTTCTGCAAAGATGGAATAATATACCTGTTGAATAGCAAAAAGAAGTGTTAATGCTTACATCCAGTGTTCAACAGTTATATCTAACCATTAGGTGCTATTTTATCAAACAGCACTGGCATCTCATCTAGTCTATGCTCAACGAATATTTTATTTTTGGTAACCTAGTATCTGCACAATCCTTCCCTAACCATGAGACTAACTAGAACTACCGTTTATTTCTGAGATGATTGCCCTGATACCTGTCTCGCCAACTGGGCTATAAATATCACCCAAAGCTAGGATCTGCTTCTGTCTTATTCATCATTGTAACCGTGGTAGCTAGCACAGCGCCATGCACACAGGGGATATAACTCACAACTGGCTGAATGAGAAAGGTTAAATCATTAAAAGTCACTGCATTTAAACTAGCCCTCTCAATCAAAAATCATTTATAACTCTCTCTCTGTAGAACGTCAGAATTTCCAAAGATTATTTCTAGAACTGACAACAGTCTGAACATGATGCCTTGTGTCACTCCACACAAAGGGGCAAAGAACACTTTCAGGATGAGATGTAGAACTCGTCAGGGCAGAGAAAGCAATGCCATCAGGACGTCTCTCTCCAGTCACCAACGTGGACGTCTCTCAGTATAATGTATTCGCTTCCTTTCCTGACTTCTCCACGTATGCCCTGATGTTAACTTTAAAAACTTTTTCAGAGGTTAAAAAGTCATTTCATATGTATTTTCCACTTCTGCAACTGTAAGTAATCATCCTTCAAATCCATGCCTGTCTACACTTTTTAGTATAATTTCAAAGGAAAAAAAAATAATTAAAAGACAGAGTTTCTATAAAAGCCTTGCTTTAGGTTTACTGCTGGTTTTGTAAATTAGGATGTTTTAAAATCCACCAGCAAGTAAAGATAGGTAACCAACAGCCACTTGAAATGAGTCTTACAACTCTGGAGCCCACTCCTTCTAAGCTGCCCAAGATGGTACAGTAATTGAGTTGTCGGCCACATTCACAGACAAATTAAGAGTAAGGTGTGAGCAAACTATATAGCTAAGAAAGAGTTAATATCTAGGCCGGGTGCAGTGGCTCAAGCCTGTAATCCCAGCACTTTGGGAGGCTGAGGCAGGCAGATCACTTGAGGTCAGGAGTTTGAAACCAGCTTAGCCAACATGGTGAAACCCAGTCTGTACTAAAAACACAAAAATTAGCCAGTGTGGTGGCACACGCCCATAATCCCAGCTACCTGGGGGGCTGAGGCAGGAGAATCGCTTGAATCCAGGAGGCGGAGCTTGCAGTGAGCTGAGATCCGGCCACTGCACTCCAGCCTGGGCGACAGCACGAGACTCCGTCTCAAAAAAAAAGAAAGAGTTAATATCCAAAATACATGAGAGGTCAGGCGTGGTGGCTTCTGCCTGTAATCCCAGAGGCTGAGGCAGGCAGATCACTTGAGGTCAGGAGTTTGAAACCAGCTTAGCCAACATGGTGAAACCCAGTCTGTACTAAAAACACAAAAATTAGCCAGTGTGGTGGCACACGCCCATAATCCCAGCTACCTGGGGGGCTGAAACAGGAGAATCACTTGAACCCGGGAGGCAGACGTTGCAGTGAGCTGAGATTGCAGCACTGCACTCCAGCCTAGGTGAGAGAGCAAGACCCTGTCTCAGAACACACACACACACACACACACACACACACACTACATCATGAAAAAATAGCTTTAAAAAAGCCCCTTAATTTTAATAAGAGCAAAGATACTAGACAGACATTTCTCCAAAGCCACACAAATGGTCAACAGGTATATGAAAAAGGGCTCAATGTCCCTAATCATCAGGGAAATGCAAACCCCAATCACAGTGAGATGTCTTTGTACTCCTGTTAGGATGGCTACTACCAAAAAATGAAAAATAAATGTTGCTGATGACTTGGAGAAAAAGGAACTACTAAACATGGGAATGTAAGTTGGTGTAGCCACTATGGAAAATAGTAGAGCGGTTTCTTACAACATTACACATACAACGACCACATGACCCCCAAATCCCACTTCTGGGTATATTTCCCAAGAACTGAAATAAGGATCTCAGATGTCTGCACTCCCACATCTACTGTAGCATTATCCACAATTAGCCAAGACATGAACAACCCAGGTGTCCGCTGGGGAATGGGGAAAGCAAATATGGTGTATACACGCAATGGAATATTATTCAGCCTTAAAAAGAAGGAAATCCTGGCATTTGCTACATAGCATGATATCCTTTAGGTTCATCTAAGTGAAGTAAACCAGACACAAGGACAAATCCTACCTGATACTCTTATACTCTTATAAGAATAAGAGGAATCTAAAATAGTCAAGTTCATAGAAGCAGAGAGTGAAATGGTGGCCATTAAGGGGTACAGGGGAGGGGAAATGGGGAAGAATGCAGGGGCAGGAAGTTTTGGCTATACTAGATGAGTGAGTCCTACAGAGCTACTGTACAGGATAGCGTCTGCAGGAATCATACTGCATTACATAAAGTTTACTAAGGGGGTAAGTCTTCTGTGTTTTTATCACACAAAATAATAATGAACTTCTGGAGGTGGAGAGATTTATGCCATATATGGTGGTGAAAGTTTCAAGGGCATATAATTATCTCCCAACTCATCAAGTTGTATACATTGGATATGTACAGCTTTTTCTATTGTTGATCATATTAAAAAATAAAAGTGAAGGTATGCAACATTGCAGTTGAATAAGGTACATCATATTTGAACAAAAAACAAAAGAGTAAGACATGAGGCTTAGATGCTTTTCACATATGGGAAGGTGTCTATCAAAACAAAGAAAAGGAACCAGCCTGGGCAATACGGTGGAACTCTGTCTCTACAAAAAAAATACAAAAATTAGCCAGGTGTGGTGGTGTGAGCCTATAATCCCAGCTCCTTGGGGCCTGAGGTGGGAAGATCACCTGAGCCTGGGAGGCGGAGGTTGCAGTGAGCCAAAATCGTGCCATTGCACTCCAGCCTGGGTGACAGAGCCAGATCCTGTCTCAAAAAAAAAAAAAGAAAGAAAGAAAAAGAAAAGAAAAGGAGCTCAAATACGAATAGACTATTTTCCACAAAGGGAAGAAGAAAACATAATGATGGTATACTTTACCCCCAAAAAAAGATGTTCCAGTAATACCTGTCTACAATTTTAAAGTATTTCCTTTTACAAAGTATAACCAGAGAAACTTTTTCAAAATCAAGTAGAAAACAAAGTGTGTGCTATGCTGTATTTGCTCAGTTCCCAAGCATACCTTGAATCACTTATATTCAACAAATTGCTCATGTTTTTATTCAAGTATGTACAATTAGGCAACCTGAAAAAGGAACTGATAGGCATAATTTTAAGTGACTAAAACATTTGGACAACACAGGTAATTCAAGATTAAGCAAAAATTAATCAAACTATGTTTTCCCCTCTGATAATCTTCTTGAGCTCCTAGGGGAGGATTAACAAAATCTTTTGTGAAGAGAAAAAATATTGCTGAGTTTTAATCTTAAAAGTTTTATTCTTTATGTGGAATAGTTCATGTAAAACAAAATTAATTAGTGAATACAATCACAATAATAAAGAGCCAATGCCATTTATTTAAATTACAAATCCAGACCAGGAGTATGTGCAGCTTTGATTATTACATGCTATGATTACAATAGAGGGGAGTTTTGAGATTAGCTTAAAACAAAAGTCAAGAAAAGTTTTTGGAAAGAAATAGCACAAGTCATTGCAGTAGGTATTTGAAACACTACAAAGACAGTTTTATCATTGCAACATAACCATATTTATATGATTGCTCATTCTACTTTTTTCTGTTTTTCAGTACCTAAGTAGGTCTTAAATTCTTATGAATTTCTATAGTAATCCTATGTACTAATGCACAAAAATAGAACTACTTTCAAACAACAGGGAGAAATAGAGACAAAATTGAATATTAAGCATATGCTGTTTTGTACCATCTCTTTAGTCTAATGTCTCACCAGGGAAAAAAATATGAAAAAAGTTGCAAAGTCCTCCACCTATTACGGGAATTCCTACACAAATTATGTTCACCTAACAGATGGGAATATTCATTGTAAGTCTATTGTTTATAAACACACATTTTTAAGCAGGCAAAGTTTCCTGGCTCTTTACAAGAAAGTATGATAAAATCTTAGCACCATATGCCACTAAAATATAGAAAATGCCTGTTCCTGTTTCAAATCAACACAGCAGGGAATGTTTGCACTCACTCTATCAAGGCAGAATTCTACTCAACGAACACAGTGTTTTCCAGGGCCAGTTCATCATCAGGAATGGCAAAGAAAATAAAACACAAAATCCAAACAAAAACCAAGGCTTAAATGTCCATTTCTGCTAATAGGAGAAAGCCTCAGTTGTGACCTGCATCTCTGAGTGGACCACTGGAACAACGCTAGAATTTCTCTAGGAAGCAGGATCAGGTCCATCTCAGACCAGGAACAATTGCTTGGACTAGACATCTGACATGTTCAGTCTACCTAGGAGCTGAACCACTTCCCTGTATTTGGAGAATTCTCCACCCTATGAGCTTTTGTGTAGATGGGGCTTATCTCAATTAAAGGCTGAAAGGACCACATCTGGAGATTCCCAGACCACTGCCTCCACAGGTACCAGGTCTGACACATAGCATGGCCAATTAGACACACTTGCTCTGGATTTTTAAATCTGGAGCTGGTGATGCCCAGGAAGAGGGCTAAAGGAGAACTCATCTGACAGCAGCAGTGGCAGCAGTGGTGAGGGCACAGGGGAGCCCTAGTCCAAGGGAGTAGCGGAGTGTCCAGTGCCAACTGGGGCAGTGGCTCAAGCAGTGATGGCCAGTGTTCAGAGGGGCCAGCAGCAGGACCCTCATGGGACCGGTTCTGGAGTGACTGTGGCTCACTCTGTTCATGCCCAATCTCCAGGTTGCCCAGTGACTGACTCTAAGGGTACCCCAATATCCACGCAACAGCTCACACAAGAGAAAGTTGGTTTCTGTGGCTTTAGAACCCTTCAAAATTCCA